ATTTCAAGAACTTGAAGACTGTCAGCAAAATACATGATGCATTACGGAATTTATAATTGGAAATGAAAACATCTGAAGCTTTTCTGACAGGGTAACCACGAAGCATGGCTGCCCTGATCAGAACAAGGCAGCACGAACAACCTTGCAGCGATCTGTACGCAGACGCAATTATCTATGCCACAGAGTGGAGTCAACACTTAACTCTGGCTTTGAGAAATGTTCAGGAAATTATATCTAAATGAATGGATGAACCCAACATGTTTATGATGCCAAGTGAAGGGAAGAGAGGAGGGAGGGGGCATCCCTACTTATGCTTCCTTTGAAAAGGAAGGACATTGAACTCTTTCTTCCTCTTTTGTTCATTGTAGAACTACCAAGGCCAGGCCTGATTTAATTTTCCTGTTGTAGAAGTTAAGGCACTTCCTCCACAATTATTAAATCTGACAAATCATACCTGTGTCCATTCTAACATTAAAAAAAAAACCAAACTCTTTGTTACTGACCCTTGGTCAGCCAAGAGATCAAATTCCTTGACAAAGGAAAGGCCCACTTATGTTCATTAAATGCCAGCAGAGACTAGTTCTGTGCAAGAAGAGCAAGATACAGGCTAGCATGGACCAGGACAGCCGCTCTAGTCTGAGTGCACGTACTAGGACCAGGGTCTCGGGCCAGGGTCTGTCTACTTTTTGCAGCAGGACTTGCTGATGCCTTAGTAAGTGTGGGTTTGTTTCTTCTTTGAGGCAGGATCTTGCTATCAAAAGAGCAGCTGAGATCAGAAAAATAAGACCCAGTTGGTTTTCGCAGATTGTCTCGTGTGTGAGTTAAATTGAAGCCCACTTGCATTCAAAGGCTGGTTACCAAAAACATGAAGATGACTTCAAAAATCCCGCTTCCCCTTTGGTATGAACAGATAAGCAATTAGTTACCACAGTGGCTAATATTTGACAGATTAGATTTTTTTCTCCTCTGACTATTTGCCTTTGATAAAGATGCTGCAGAGGGTAGCTAGAAAGAGGAAATGGAGGGTTGTCTTGGGGGCCGAGCATGAACACTGGGCAAGAGACGCCTGTGAGCTTTCAAAGCTGGAATCTGTCAGATAACACAAGCCCCACTTCTGTCTCCCAAAGGGGGCAAGAGGAAAAGATGGCAGAAGTTAAGAAAATCTGTATGCAAAGTATCTAATGAGAATGCCTAATTGCTTTTCTTTAGACTCACGGAAGGAGGCAGTGAAGGAATGTAGACAGAACACAGAAAACAGTTCCTGCCAAGTTCCCCCAGGCCAAGAAGCTCCCAGCAAAACTCATCCACACTTGCCACCCTTCCAAGGAGCCTCTCTCCTTCAAGATTGGCATCCCATTTACAACTTCAGCTGTTTGGGACACGAAATTTTCCTAGAACCATAGAATCTCATTGACATTGTCTTCATTGGAGATGCAGTAAACAGCATGGCACATTACAGTTGCAAACGTTCAGGAATGCATTGCCAGCTATTTATGGCATATAAATTCCTATGAAGTTATAAATCAGGAAACAGCAGTATTCTCGCTAGTCTTTAGGAAGCTTTCAGCTGTGACACAGTTTATAAACATACCACGAAGGCAGATGAGTATTCTTTTTCTGAATTTAAAGCGCATAACAATCTTTATTTTATTTTATCTTATGGGGGAGCTGATAGGGCAAGCAAGTCCGGAACCTTGTGTAGATTAGCATGTCTCCTAAAGATCAGCTACGCTCCAATGTTATATGTTTAAAATTCAAGAGGTAGAACAATTTTTGGCCGGATGGCAAACCACTTTTGAGAAACCCATGAAGGGCAGGATGGAAATTCCGAGGGTAAAGAATCTTGTTTAGATTTTTGCTTTTGAGTGAAAGCCATTACCAGTATCATCAATTCAGAATTTAACATTTCCTCTAATCAACTAGCTTCTATTATTTTGGAATATCTATGGGCTGTTGAGGAGACATTTGCTTGCAGGGAAATCTCAGGGATACAATAATAATGATAAAATCTTAACTCCTAAAAAGAGAGAAGTACTAGCTGTGATGTAATTTCACTCAAATTTTGCTTCTATCCAAATTTGTAATAGTAAAAGGGGTTAAGAATTATGTAAGCCACTAAAATAACCATGTCTACCAAAATGTACTATCTTTGAAGACTCTAGGTTTGGTGAACAATTACGTAGTTGAAGTGTGAAGGAGGAGTGAACATCATTCCTTCTGTTTCACATGACCCAAGCAGTAGAGACTGAGCCCGGGTCAGAGCACAGGCATCTGACTCCTGCTGCAGAGACGCTTGTAAAGAGGTCAGGAAGCATCAGTTACCCCACCGCTCATGGTGACAGCTGACTTGAGGCTTGCAGACTTCACTGCACTGTGGATACATTAGGTTTATGTTGGAAACAGCCATGTGAGAGAAGTGATGCTCGTCTTACAGATGAGAAAATGGAGGCATGGGGATGTTAGAAAAATCAAACAAAGCAAAGATGTAAAGAACTCGTCCAAGGTCTCTGGAAGTATGTGGTAGAAATAGGAAACACGGTCCTTCCTGTACGGACATGCTCAGGCAGAAACCCCCAAGTCAGTGTTCAGGATGAATATCCCCTTAAACAGAACACCTTCACAGTGATATTCAAACAACTGGCGTTTCAGGACAGAGTGAAATGAAACCTCCTCTTCACTGTCTGCATTCTTGGTTTTAAAAAAACCCAAAGTACCAATCATTTCACTGGACAGGACAAATCCCATTTACAGATTCCCTTTTTTATAAAGAAATGGTTAGCAGAAACAAGGGGTCAAGATTTTTGGAGATCTCATACATGGACCACTCCCTCAGGACAACATTTCAAGACAAATCAATGCTGCTGCCTAGTTTCTGGCTTCAACTACCTTCTCTTACGTGGAATTAACTTTTTTTAATGACTAAAAATATCTTAAGTGATAGTAACCTAGTTCTGATATAAACGTTGTCCTCACATGAAGCAACCACCCAGCCTGGGTCATACCCATCTCGCTGGGTATGCAGTCACCAGTTGTTTTCACGTCTTGGGATACTTCAGTGTCTGCTGTGGGGTCCTAATCATCCCCTCATTCATCGCAGCTGTAGTTTTGTTTAGTTAAGTTCTATCCTACAGATTTGGATCAGCTTAAACCATGGAGGATGCTTTTTTTTCTTTTTAAAATTTCCATGTCATTGTTTCAGTAATTAGCAATCTGGGGTCTTTGAAAGCACTGATTGTTCATGAACAGCCCAGTGTCCTGTGCCGTCTGAAGATCGTTCAAACACACCAGGCGAGTTTGGAGAAATGATTTTAGTCAATACGTCGAGTTTCTCTGACAATCAGAGGTCATTCTTCAACTAGTAGACTGCATTAAGAACTGCACTGGGAAGTGAAAAGTGCTTACATCCTGCCCCAGATCCACAACCTGTGATGTCAACACCCAGCTTCACCCCGAGACCATTGTTCAGATCACAGCTGAACAGGACTCACGTCTGCTATTTATCCTATTACCCTCGGCCATCTTCTCATGCATATAAATAAATGGATGGATTTTAATAGAGCCGAATTTAAGCAGGACCTGCATATTATAACCACTAATTATCATGTCACCACCAGCACTACCATCCAGCGCTGCTCAGCCCCATGGCCACACTATATTCCCTACAGTCAGACTTGCAGAGTAGTAGGGCTACTACTCTGTTGTTTCTTAAGCAGTCATTTGACCTGCTGTGCCTCAGTTTGCTTATTTGCCAAATAAGAATCGCAGTGGTACCTAAAGTCTACAGGCAGACTGAAGACGAAATTAGACAACTGATATAACAATGGACTTAGAACAGTGCCCGGCTTATGGCAGTTAGTGAGGAACCCAAAGTCATTGTCAGGTTGAAGTGCAAACAAAAATGCACTTCCCACACTCCCTATCAGTCATGAATACCAATTTGTAAGAAAAAAAAGCGATTTTTCTTTTCAGAGAGAAAGCAAACCTTTGAGTGGAGAGGCGATCAGAGTTCACTCTGGCACCCTTCTAGCAGGCCTATCCTCAGCTTATAGCAAAGGACACGGGGCTTTTCAGCCCAGATGGGGAGTCAGCTGGTCTGTTCAACACACACACACACAAATAACCCTGGAGTTGTCTGATACAGATAACTCCAGTATAACATTCTCATTTTAGAGATGAGAACATTGATTTGGGCTGAGTGACTTGCCCCAAGTCTACCCAAAAACAGTGGCAAAGTCAATGTTATGCCAAGCCAATTACTAGACTCTCTTAAAAATCCATTGCATAGTGCCACCTGTGTAATCTTTTGATGACTGGATAAAAAATACTATTTGTTTTCACCATTTTAAAGATAGAAAATCTAAGGTAACTTCTTTAAAACCTGGAGATGAAAACTGGAAGAACCAAGATCCAGCGTCCTCCTGTTAGGCCCTAGGACATGTGCCTGATGGATGTGTTCAGAGCACAATTCGAGACTCCTAGTACTCATCTGTAGACCCTTTAAAAATACAGGGTTTTTGTTTGTTTGTTTGTTTGTTTGTTTTGTTTCCTGAAGGGAGGAGAATAAGGGGGTCTTTGAGACTAGGGTTTCAAAAGCTATCTCTATAGATCTGGTCAGTCTGATGCATAAAAGAAACTTGAGAAACCTGATCTATATGCAAGGCCTTTCATGACAGTTCCAGTATAATTGAAAGATGAAAACTCTCATGAAATGTTCAGGGTAGCTAAATCTGTCAAGAGCAACAGGGTGGTCTTTCGCAAATCTTAGACATACATAAAGCCCCAGTTATATAACTACATACGTTTCTACTAAAGCCTCACTCTTACTCTTGTTAACTAAAGGAGTCTGTTTGATGATGAAAATAACTGTGATTTCCGGCAGTATCGGATGGCATGTTTTGTTGAAGCAATAACCTTCCCTTCCATCCTAGACATTTCCATTTAAAGCAGCTAAGACCCAGACAGGGTTTCTTGGTTCCCAACCTGCTGGAGCAAACACTTACCAAGGTGCACCATATATCCTGAATCCCTTCACGGTTACCTCTGAATCTTGCAAGTAAATACTGTTAGTCAGGAGGGACTGGACATTGTCAAAATCCTCTGGTTTCAATTTGGACACAGAGGGGAAACGGTAGTAGTCCTGTTTAACGAGGTCTGCCATGAATTCCTTATCAAATGTCAGTTCATGATTCCCAGCAATCACAATTTTATATTCATATGGCAGGTTTCCTGTAATAACAAGAAGAAGAAAAAAAGCACCAATTAGCACATTCATTTCCCATCACAAAATACAGCAGCCGAGACTGTGATTAGCAGACGGTTCACCCGAATGAAATGATCATACATTTCTTTCCATTTCCATGTAAATCAAAATTTATGGCTACTCTTTATGCTACCAAAATGACAATATACCAGAGCTAGGAAGCTATAAGGAGCGAAATAGCCACTAAGAAAGTGTCAAGCTTCCCAGCTCCATTTCTCTCTAGATTTTACAGATCTACTGTGATGAACCCACACACAGCAATTATCCAGTTATTGTTTTTTCTTTTTTTAAAAAGATTGACCATGATCCTAAAGAGAAGGAAGGCTTGGACTCAGTCTAGTTAGAAAATAAGACAAGTATTTTTTGACAGCATGCATAAATGCTAGATTTTAGTATACCCTCCAAACAAAGGCGGGCATATTCTAGGTGTTCTACAGTGCAGCCTAAGGAACCTGCAATGACAGACTGCAAGTCTAATTTTACATTTACCTTTTGGCTTCTGCGTAAACAGAACATTATTAAGGGCCCGTGATTGGAAGGGCAACTTTCCTCCCATTGGGATGGGAGAGGAAACTGTAAAGCTTAACCCCCTTTTAATATTTATGCTATGGAAATGTGAGTTCTTGGTGTGTGCTTTTTATGCAAAAGTTTCCCGATCGAAATGAGATAATTCTGGGAAGAAGAATGAAAGCTATAAAGGAAAACCCAAACACCAGACTTCTGCATAGATTTATAATGTTTGAATAAAGTACAGGTCATACATATTAATAACTCACTGTGATGTTATACGAACCAAAATTCCAAGGGGAAATAGAACCAGGCAGTCATCCCCATCCTGAGATTAATGCCTTTTTGCTGCTCTGCCTCTACCCATCCCTCAAAACTAGCCATAGGGCTATTGCTCATTTTATTTTATTTTGGAGTAGAAAAAAGGGCGGGTCACTGGCACATATAATTCCACCTTGACTCCTGGGTCTGATGCAAAATTAATGTTGCCTGCTATTCTGGGAAGAATTAAGGTTACCCTGAGTAGGAAATAGAGTGCTCTTGTAAGAATTGATCCTTACCAGCAAGCCAGAGTTGATAATTTAATTAAGGAAGCTTAGCGGGAGAGACTTTTTCCTGGGATTGGTAATAGTAACTTCTGTCATTGGTATTTGGACTTTGGCAGAGTAATCTGTAAAGACTACACTGTAGAGGCCTCACCATGCCAGCAGCCAGATGCACAGGCAGCCGCTAGCACAGTGTTTTCTAAGAGAGTAGTGACGTTTTATAACGTGACCATTTTTCTTCAGCTCTTGGTTTGCAGTTTCTACAGGTAATAGAGTCACATGCATGGCATGTGCTGTAGTGGGGAGGCTTGAGGGAAGGGTGAAAGCCATGCTAGCAAATTACAGAGGCCAGGAGTCAAGGGACATCCGATGACCCACCCACACTGCTATGTGACACACCTCTGGCCTCAGTTACTTGCAGGGCTACAGAAGAGTGCAGCAGAAGTAGGAGGCCGCGCTCAGAGGCATGCTTATGCAAGTTGGGCAATTAGGAGGGTGATGTGTGCTGCAAACGCGTGAGAATGGTGCTGCTATTTTGCTTGATCCCTGCACTTGAAGCACAGATGAAAGATGGATTAACAAGGCCTCAAATTCCCATACTGCCTGTACTGAAATTATGAGGCCCCACAACTCTGCTATCACAGCTCTGTGGTTAGATAATGCACCCACAGAGTTTTTCAAGTCAGAACAGGCTAAAAATGCTTTCGTGAGCATCCATCTGTCCCAGGCAGGTCCTGCCTGAGTGGGCCTTAGCTACTGGTTCAGTCTGCACTGTGGCCCTCTGTCTCCTCTGTTGGTGATGATAGGCTCACTGGAAACTCACTCAGTGGTGACTTTCACAAGAGGCACTGGATTCTCACTACGCCCTCATTTTTAGATACTTGGTTCTGAACTATGGACACAGGAAGGCATGGGGCAAAAGAAGTACTCCTCTCACCACACCCCTGCTTCAACTGTTGAAAACAAACAAAAAATAAAAGGTGAAACTTGTATGAAGTAAAAACGTCACTGGGAAAGCAAGCATCTTCGGCGTCTTCTAAATCAGATTTCAGAGACTCCGCTAGAGGAGTCACCGACATGAACAGTCGAAGGAGCAGTGATGATATTTACACGCTGCCAACAAACTCATCTCACTCAGAGAATCCAATAGCAGTTTCCAAGTTCCGCCCTGGGTTACCTGTGTTATGAGATTGTCTGACAGATTTTCTTTTTTGCTGAGCTGACCTTTCATCTATAATCTGCCAACCTTTCTGTTTTATATGAAAAGTGTAAGCAGGGCAGCTGACAAATCTCCTGTTACTTGATGGCATTTTCTTTCTTTCTTTTTTTTTTTCCCACAAGACTAGATTAATTTGGAAGGCTCTGCAGTCAAGCTTCAAGCTTCTTGGTATTCAAATAGCATCACTTTCAAATTGTCAGACAAAGAGGTGCCTGCCTTTATCCATTTTATTCAGATCAGGCCATCTAGGCCGACCCACTTGAATAAAAAGCAAGACCATATTCTACTTTCTTAATGCGGAAGAAATCCCTGCACTGTGGGATCCGCAGAACTACCCAGTGGAATTAGACAGTGTGTCCTGGGAATGAAAGACAGGATTATTCTAAGTGGAATGAAGAGGAACCTTCAATGAAAATGTTAAGAGCTTACTATATTTTTTAAATGCGTAGTTGGGAATCTAGTGTAAGTGGGATTTGTAGCACTATTTTCATATACATGTAACAAAAATTCATACATAACATGAACATATGGAGTGAAATATGTATGTAACTGTCAGAACATTTTTTTCAGAACATTTTTTCAATAAGTAACAGTACAGGTAAGTTAGAGGGATAGCAACCATGTCACAATGGTAACAAATGAATGAATGAAACATGTAATCCCAGCATTCAGGAGGCTGGGTCTGGAAGATTGCCACTAATTCAATGGCAGCCTGGGCTACATCGTTCCAGGTCACCCTGGGGTACAGAGTGAGAGTCTGTCCTTTGAAAATAAAAGCAGACAGTGATGATATAAAGGCCAACTTCCCCTCACAGCTGCTGCAGTCTCAAGAACCACACCCTCCTGTCACCTGCTGTCCTCCAAAGCAGACACCATATTTTTCTGGGTTTCTCGTCAACTCCCAGGATGGCCAACCACATGGAGGCGATAGGGTCTCTTGGCTTCTTAGTCTCCACTTTTTCATTGTCCAGCTTGGTTACAACTTATACTTCTAACCACTGAACTCTTAATCTAGCTCATCCCATGCCCCCACACACCTTCCTTGGTCTTCCAATATCTTCCCTCTCCAGCATCAGTTCTTTATTTATGGGATCTTCTTTTATTGTGAGTTTATACTTACCCATCCCAATTAAGTAAGAACAAGCAACCATCGGCATGTAAACAGGTATGCCCGCTGCACACATGATCCTAAATGGATCGCGACGCTTTAGCATTTGGCTTTAAAACTTCTGGAAAGAGTCCAGATATGATAAATTCAACCTACAGATAAGTTAAGCTTAGTTCTTAACTGTATTTTACTTTTAAAAAACGAACTAACATTTAGAAAGCAGATATTTCTCTCTCTCTCTCTCTCTCTCTCTCTCTCTCTCTCTCTCTCTCACACACACACACACACACACACACACACACACACACACACACACACACATCTCAGAGCTTTCCAGCCCTCTTGGAAAGTTAAAAAAAATCCAGCAATGCTCACAACTCCACAGATCACAGACCTTCCCACTCTTGCTCCTGCCTGGCCCACACGGATGCGCCAATGTAGTTTTAGACTGAATAACACACAACCCAAGGCAATTTGGTTTCTGTATTTATTATCCTCCAAAAGCTTTCCTGGGACATCCCTAAAACAGCCCAAGGGACAAAGCAAAACTTCTTAGTTCTTACCTGGGCTGACATGAATGCAATGACATCACTGTCTCTGCAAATATCCACCCGCTTGGTTGCTGATGTTGTACTCTCCAGATTCCCTTCTCTCCTGTCTAATGCCACCTCTCTTCTTCCTCAGATGCCTTTGCATCCTGTCCCACTCTGTGACAACCTCCTTCGTCCTCAGTCCATCTTCACATATACTGTCATGCCATGCTTTTCAAGTTTCTATTCTTCAGATTCAGTTTCAAACCAGTACTACATGGGCTGCAGAGGAGCATGGGGTTTCAAACCAGTACTACATGGGCTGCAGAGGAGCATGGGGTTTCAAACCAGTACTACATGAGCTGCAGAGGAGCATGGGGTTTCAAACCAGTACTACATGGGCTGCCGAGGAGCATGGGGTTTCAAACCAGTACTACATGGGCTGCAGAGGAGCATGGGGTTAGAGTGAGGGCTATGCAGGCTCTCCCATGCATTAGCTGTACAACCCTGGACAGCTGCCTTTTGTTCTCAGGGTGATGACGGCAACAGCAGCAGGGCTTAAAGCTTCGGAAGCACATGCATGTCAGAATAAACATGGTCACTACTGGCGATCCAGCTTTTAGTTTTGCTTCTTATGTGTCACTCATGTCCCTTTTGACTTAAGTCATGGATTATGCCTGTGGTTTCTTGTTTGACTCAAAGAACTCAGTTTAATACTTCCCAATAGTAAGCACACAATTCATATTTGCTTAGTGATACAATGAATGAACACGTCCAAGGGTTGTCAAAAGCTTCAAAGATTCCAGAAACTACGCTTGGCATACCAGACTATGGCAAAATATGACTCAATTTCACATGTTCTTTCAAGTTTAAGTTTCATAAAGAGTCCTATTTGTGACTCCAACATCTAGTCTACTACCTAAGCTCCAGTCCACAGCTCTCAAACTGTACTTTCTTCAAGTACAAGTAGGAAAAAGTAATAGTGTGACAGAAAAGTTTTAGAGGGATTAAAAAAGATCCTAAGCAATTTCTGGCACTCTGGTCATCCAGAAGATAT